GGTGACTTTAAAGGTGCCCATTATGTGGTCACAATCTTAAATATCAGTAAAAAATAAATGTGTGCAGGTGCAATGCTCTCTTGCAAATGTCATTCTATTTGACAAACTGTGAAACCACGCACATGTTAAGCAAATACAAAGGATGGCATGTGCCTGTGTCTTATTCTTCCTACATTATTTGTTCAACCATTTAATATCTTGCTGCTTCGAATGCAAACGCCGCTGTATCTTTTGACAAATTCTGTACGACCCAAGCCCCATGTGATGTCACCCGACGCGACATTTACGCGAGCAGGGTAGGGGAATTGGTGGGCCGGCGCCACCCGAGGTCTTGCCGGCGCCACCCGAGGTCTTCCCGGCGCGGCGAGTGCTGTTCCAGAGTAGCCCCCTGCCTCTGTCAGGCCCTCGTGTGCTCGCAAACTCCGTCGGGGGCGCATTGCGCGGCCCCCTACCACTCCGCCCGGCCTGGTTGCGGCCTCAACCGGCCTGCCCCCAGCAGGTCTCCATCTCGTCCTCAGGTTCCTCATCCCCTGTATAGAACAGTCCTTCCCCCAAGTGAGGCCCTCCTGGGGTGGGGTACTGGCCCCCCTACTCTAAGTGCACATGCGTGTGCGCCACAGGTTCGTCATCGCACACCTCAGCTGGGCAACCACTCCACACCTGACGACCTCACACAGGGATTCAAATTCGACACCCCGCTTCGTTGAGCCTGAGACGCCCATGTGATCACCAGTTTACATATGAGTGTGTCTCTACGTAGGTGGAGGATGTCTCTAATATATGGGTGTATCCGTGCGCGTATGTCGCCTCAAGGTGCACCCTTGAGGTGCCCACGGCACAAGCGTCAAGGTACCGTCACCGCCCCCTAGTGGTGAGCGACCGCTGGGTCCCTCTCTAAAGGGTGCTTCAAATAAATGTTAACACTTAGAAGGGACTATCGTTATTAATGTAAAAATAACGGATAATACACTGTAACATGATAACAAATGTATGTTAATACAATAAATAAGTCAAAGAGTCTCCACTTGTTCTCCATCATTGTCAACACATGCCTAGAATCTTCTCCAGGCATTTGTTGACAACCTGAAGACCACCCCTGGCCAACACACAACCCCTAATCCCCCGTCCACTCGAGGTCACGCGGCCTTCGCACGGCCCAGGGAGACGGTTCATCGGCGTGAACACCCTGTGCACGCCTTGCTGGCGGCAGGGAATATTTTCTAAACTGAGGGACGACCCGTTCTGGTCGTGCCCTCTCATAGAGTTAGTTACTGTCCCTAACAACATCACCCACTCGCGCGCACACACACAAACGCACCATCAACAATATAAAAACCGAGACGATATGGATTGTATATAATTTATTCTCTAATCCTCCGGTTTGACTGTGCTTAGAGAGGCTTTCTGGTGTGCCTCGACGTCGTTGTGCATGGCGACGGTGGCACTCGCACCCAGGAGTTATCTAGTATAAAATTGATGATACTATATATTACAGAGGATAATATTATATGATGTAAAACGGATATTGAGATTTTTTTTCGAATCATGTAGAGGCTTTGAAACAAAGTGGTACAGTACTGTGGCGCCCACACAGTAACACAGTGACTGCGAGGGGTGGGGCCGTGTGCGCCCCCAGATATCCCACAGAGCACACACAGCCCCCCCCCTTTGGCGGCACCAAGGGGATTAAGCGCCTGGAAACCCAACGCCTGGCGCCAAGGGGATTAAGCGCCTGGCCCGCCCAGGGACCCAGAGCCGCCAGCAGCCCCTCCCTTCTCATGTCACTACAAATACATCGAAGCTAAGGGAGAAGAGGTGGCCATGTTTGTGAGACCCCAGCCCCTTAATGCAGAGGCACCCAAAAGGGCAATGCAACTCAGAGAGTTGGAGATAACAGCCAAACGGCAGGAAGGATGGAAGCACCATAGCAAGTTACAACTTTACTTGGTTAATAACGTCCTTCCAATGATTGCTCAGCTTATACCCATCTTCTCACTTAGCATTAAGAGATCAAATGTCCACATCTGCTTGGGACCTTGTAGATAACATGACTGTTTCTTCTGCCGCGACAATGTCAACCAAATGTAAAGTTAACCTGATTGCTAAATTCAACATCCTGTCAATAAAGAAGCCAGATCCACACGTGAAAAAGTTAGATGTTAACAAGATTGTTATCAATCAGAGTAACAGCCCAATTTCTGATGGCCTAAAATCTGTACTAGCTAGAGAGCTGAATTTTGCAGTCACCCCCAAATACATCCCAGTGGATGATATTGCCCAGGATGACGTAGCCCTCAAAGGTTTGGGACACATCCCAGCAGACGTGGCAAGATCTTAAATCGCCGCCATCTTCAAAAACACTAAGAAATCCATTAGTAACATCAGCAGGGACGAGCGCTCTGAGCTTACTCAATTGAAAAAGAGAGATGACATTGTCATCCTCTCAGCCGACAAGGGCAATGCCACAGTCATCATGGATAAAACCACATACAACAACAACATCCAGGACCTTCTTAATGATGTCAGTTATACCAAAATCAACGAAGAGCCTACCAATCGTCTGGCTACAAAAAACAACAATATCATCACTAATCCGACTTCTTTAATCGAACCGACCAAGCAGCTCTCTCTAAAACCTTGGGCTTGCTAGACCACCAAGATTTATGGCCTTCCAAAAATCCATAAATAAGGTACTCCACTCTGGCCTATCGTATCTACCATCAACTCACCTACCTACAAACTGACACAATTTATGTCTGAGACCCTGCTTCTATTCACGGGCAAGACCACCTCAGCAGTATTTAACTCAACTCACTTGGTTTCTCTAATCAAGGACATTTCACTGTCTCTAGATGATTTGCTTGCCAGTTTCTTTGTAATCTCTCTGTTCACCAAGGTACCCCTACCTGACACAATAGCAATCATTGAAGACTTGGTCCAACAGGGACTGAATCCTGATGTACCAACTTTGGTGAGGCACTGCCTTACCAACACTTACTTCACCTGGAATGATATATTCTAAAAACAAAATGAAGGTACCCGTATGGGTTCTCTCTTATTACGAGTAGTGAAATTTAAAACAGATACCATCCTGACATCCACCATACGTTCTTCCCTGTGGAAGAGATACGTAGATGACACTTTCGTCATCTGGCCACATAGCAAACCAGCAATGAACCAATTTTTCAACCACATCAATTCCATACACCATTCCATCAAATTCACAATGGAAGTGTAAAATGATGGTAATGCTACCATTCCTAGATGTTTTGATCGAGAAGAGGCCTGATGGCTTGTTGGGACATTCTGTCTACAGGAAGGCCGCCCACATGGATTCCTATCTAAAGCCTGATATACACCACCATCCGGCCCAGAAGAATTCCCCCATCAAAACACTACACCATAGGGTCCACTGCATCTCCGACCAGCGCCACCTAGCCAGTGAACTGGAGCACGTACACCAAGCTCTCAAGATGAATGGATACTCAGACCGCAAAATTCGCAAAGCTGTATCCCCAACCACGGGGAAACAACGATCTGAGGACCCAATCAAAACCATCACCTTGCCATACATAGCAGGTGTTACCAAAAATATTTCCAATCTTAAACAAACACAAGATCCAGGTCCGATTCAATACAGTACACAAATCCGTGATTTTTTTCCATCTGTGAAGGATGTCATTCATGACATGCAATACCCTGGTGTCTACAAACTAGGTTGTGTCTGCAGCAGCAGTTACATTGGGGAAACGAAACGACATGTCTCGGACTGTGTTCGCGAACACAAGGCAGATTTTAAACACGACAGAAACCAATAACTCTGCCTTGGCTGATAATTGTTATAACTCTGTGGGCTCGCACGATGTTGTTTTTCCGAGACCAAGGTACTCTGCAAACATTCGGGCTACTATCAAAGATTAGTCTATGAAGCTATCCAGATATATAAACACAGAGATAATTTCAACCGAGAAGATGGAAATAAGCTGAGCAATAATTGGAAGGACGTTATTAACCAAGTAAAGTCGTAACTTGCTGCAGTGCTTCCATCCTTCCTGCCGTTGGCTGTTATCTCCGACTCTCTGAGTTGCATTGCCCTTTTGGGTGCCTCTGAATTAATGGGCTGTTGTCTCACTAACATGGCCACCTTTGCTCGATTAGCCACGATGTATCGATGGTTCTGGCTGTGTGGTGGGTTGTGTGTCTCACTGGCGCAACCACCGTTGCGGTGGTTCTCTTATGTGGCGACGGAAGCTCATTTACTTTGACATGCTTATCTCTCTTCCTAATCTCTCCCTAATCTCCCCATTAACACAACTGATGTGCTTGTGTGCAGGGATGGGACTCCTTCCCAGCTCGGACCCCGTCTGCTTGCCCTTGGCCAACATATATAACCTCTTGTTGTAGAAGCTCTCTCACTGTGTTCTACTTGGTTCAGCAGTTCTACTTCTGGATAATATTTTTCCACCTGAGGACGATCGCTTGTGTTGTGATCGAAACGTCGTAATATATATTTTTTTCCTACCTACGTGACTTTACCGAAAGAACCAAAGAGTAAGGTTAATAATGTAAAAAATGGGCTTAAAATAAGGAAAATAAATGAATGCATTACATTTCAAATCACTAAAAGCCAAAGAAAAGTGTCTCCCTGTTCAACCAGTGTTTGGCAGTGTTCACTTCTCCTGGTGGGCCTAAGCCAGTGATGAATATTCCCATTACTATGGTGTGGGGTATCTGCCTATAAAACTACCAACCAGGATTAGAGGTTGCGATCCTCCCATAGCGTGTGTATTGCATTAAAATATAACTTTTTGCACATGCTGCATCATTTATAAAAGTTTAATACGCCTAAAAAATACTTTAAATTCCACCACTTCTCTCCTGCTGACACCCACCTAAATATCAGACACGATGGCACGCCTTAATTTGAAACGTAAATAATTTTATTTTTGCATGCTGTTTTGGTTGAGAGTTGGACTTCCCTATTCTGTTTGCCCCTGGAGGAGTCACATGGGCAACAGATTCTGTATAAAAGCCAAGAGGTCCCAGCAGTGAGACACGGCAGTGATCAAGAAACTGCAAGCATTCAAGAAGCTCCAAGTCATCGATCAACCATGCTCGCCTTTCTCGTCTGTGCTGCTCTGCTGGTTGCGGGTGAGTGTTGCTCTTGCTGACACATTGAGCTGCTGAGTGATTGCAATGCACGCATTTCATTTAGTGGAGCGACCGTTCGAGCATCTTCATGAACTAGACTTAGTTCTAGAAGATGCTCGTATAGAAATTCCGCTTTTATTTCAGTCCGCTTTCATTGTATTCCGACGCAACTACCTCTTTCAACGGGGGTATGCAAGAATCGACTGGTGGACACCCCCCTCTTTTCTCCCCACTCTCACTGGAACAGCTACTGATGTTTTTAACCCGTATGCAATAATACGCAGGCTATCACTGTTTCGATATGATTTCAGTTGCGTTATGAATCTTGCTATCATGCTGGCCCATCGGTATAGGTCTCTAAGATTTCCTCAAAGGTGGTGGATCGCGCATCTGAATGCTCCATTGATACGATAGCGTGAATCGGGCTCGGTCCATGGTAGACCGCAGGTAAAAAAAACAAAAAAAATTGTTCCTAACATGTTATACTTGTTCGTCTGTTTATTCGGGACTCCTTGTGACCGACTGGGCCCCTATGGGACGCATACGCTGCATACCCCAGAGCTGCACCCCTGAGTACATTTATGCGTGTGTGTGCTTTTGTTCCTCACAGCTGAGGTGTCGGCTCAGAGCTGTGGGATCGCAGCGTATCCCCAGATCCGCGTGGTGAACGGTGTGGAGGCTCGCGCCAACTCCTGGCCTTGGCAGGTAACGGCAGAGGCTGAATAACAGCCATCACAGCCACACGATGTATTGTCAGTCGATCATAGTGCTGCAGCATCCATTGTTGTACATGCCACGTGGAGGCCCTCATCCAGCAGTGCATTGACAAAAAGGCTGCATGTGTGCAACATGAAATGTTCAGATCTTACACTCTTCCCAATGACATTGAATCAGTCACTGTATTCCGAATGTGAATCAGAATGTTTTTATATTGGAGAAATCCGATTCGCTTTAAAGCTCTTTTTCACAGATCTCCAGTAGGGGCAGGTCAGAACGTTACAACAACACACAACGCAAAAACACAACAAGAGTGCAAAGTATAGGAAAGGTAAACAAATCACTTTAAAATATTTATATAAATTAAACGAAAATATATGTTTTATCTTACCAGATGAAGGCCACTGAGCTATTTCTTTTTTAGATGCGTCCTGACCACAAATGATAGCTCACCAAAGTGGCCCATCATGTGAAAATTGATATCAGCAAAATAATATTGATGCAAGTTTTTCAATATGTAGGGATAACCATGAGCACCCAGGGATAAAATCCACACGACCACAGGGAGAACATGCATACTCCAAATGTACAGGTGTGAGGGTTGGGTTTGAACCCCTGACCTCCCGCATACCAGAGAGGAATATACCATCACATCACTGTCGGGTCCCTTAAATATAAATATTATTTTTATAAAGTTTCGAAGTTCATATTGCATTTGTACTTCAATTCCCAAGCTTGGGAAAGGCAGTAAAACAACAGCAAAACAGTCCCAGAACACACCAGGACAACACAGATTTCATTAAATTGTACTTTGGGAGAGCGGAGGCACAGTGGTTTACGTACTGCACTACGAACCGGGCAACATGGGTTACATTTCCAGCAACTGTGGCGAGTGATATCTGAACCAGTCCTGGATTACACCCCTTCGCAACCAGCTCTAACCAGCATTGTGCATTGACTCAAGGGCTAAGTTAGGACTGTATTATTCGATATAGTAATTGGAGTCCTGGACAAATAACAGTAACCGCCACCAATCTGGCTGTGATTGCATTGCAGGCGCTCGTGCAGAGGTACTCTGGAGGAAGATGGGTCAACTACTGTGGAGGAACCCTCATTGATCGTCAATGGGTGCTCACCTCTGCGAGCTGCTTCACGTGAGTCATGGCACCAATGGAGTCGCGAGTGTGTGTGCAGGCGGTGCAACTGCACCGTGGCCCAGGTACTGTACAGTATTTTGCTGTACCACATTGTGGCCACCAAGGATGGAGCAGTCGATCTTGGCAACAAGGAGGCGGCATCTATCAATTACCTTCACACGATGCCACGTGGCAGTAAATCGCAACATTTATATTTAGTACTTCCTCACTGAAATGTTTACAGATGTAAGTGATTAAGACCACCCATTGCTCTGTTATCTCCCCACATCCACCACAACGTGCAGGAATGGCTACAGCTACAGGGTGGTGTTGGGAAAGCACAGTGTGTCCACAACCGAGCCGGGGGAGATCACCCCTCCATTGAGCCTGGCCGTCTGGCATACCTACTGGAATCCCAGCATCCCAGCAAATGGGTGAGAACGCAAACAGGCACACTGTTTTTTGTGACACCGTGACAGAATTGCCATGGAGAGACAAAAATACAAACATAAAGTGTTATTTAGACAAACAGACAAAATATAAACACTATAAATCGACAAACAGACATGCATACAGAGACACACAGACATGAACTTTAGGGTCTGCAAAAACTCCTACTATCCGTGGCCCTATTCTTCCGATTATACATGATTATTTGCAATTTTATTCCTATAAATAATAGGAGTAAAATAGCAGATAATATCATCTGCGATATTGGTCCCCCACATCACCACGGTTAGGGGAGAGTTATCTGCAAAGCGCTGAACCCCCATTGCATGGGGTATGTTGGATGTGGATTAGGCCCAGACTAGCCATAGGGCAGCATTTCGGGCAAATGCTCAGTGGGCCAGTCCATTCCGAGGGCCGGTGAGCCGGTCTGTGTGGAGAAATAGCAAAAGTGATCGGAGTAAAAATAAAAAAAAGTGTTCTTACCTCTAATGTCTAAGCTCCATTGCTTAGTTGGCATTAAATCCTATATTCGGCAGCCAAAAAGATTATTCTTCACCAGCCCATTTGTTTTTTGTATCTGCCCAAATGGGCCAATGAAATTGCACGGCAAAATCACACGAATACGGCACATCGCACATCTAGCTACTCGTATATAGTTTGTCCCACAGCCCATTAAAAAAATGATTGTCAATAGCCATCATTTGGGCAGGTTTGTTTACAAATGCCTGGGCCGATTTTTTGTCCCAGTCCGTCACTGGTGTTGAGCCTTGCATCACGCTGCCCATCTCGATCCCCCACAGGTACGACATCGCCATGTTCAAGATTGCATCGCCCGTGACTCTCACAAGCAAGGTGCGCCTCGCCTGCCTCCCCACCGCCAACCAGATCCTGCCCAACAACTACCCGTGCTACGTCACGGGATGGGGTTCTCTCGACAGTGAGTACCGTTCACTCAGTGTCCATCGGAGGCACAGTTATGGGAAGTGATTTAAGCCCAATGCGTCAATTGCCCCTCCAGTTTTACGAGATGATTCTGGCTGAGAAACTGTCACAAATCACAGTAGAGGGTTGACTCAGCCCTTCATCTTTCTGTCGTCAAAATGAACACAACTCTGTATGGAGTCAATAGGCTGCGAGTAGGTGGGCTGTGATGCTATCTGCCGTTGGCACATTGAACATAGAGACACCAATGGTTCGCTTGGGGAGCACCTGTGAACGCCACACCAATCCACTCCGTTTCCACATTGTCTGTGCGCGTGAACAGCCAGCGGCTCCTTCCCCAGCGCGCTGCAGCAGGCCAGCCTGCCCGTGGTGGACTACGCGACGTGCAGCCAGCCCAGCTGGTGGGGGAGCAGCCTGAGGAGCAGCGTCATCTGTGCAGGGGGCAGCACCCGCTCTGCGTGCTCTGTGCGTATGGAGTTCAACGCGAGCCAACCCGCCTCAATTATTTGACAAAATTACTAATGAGAATAGTTATCACCACAATGTTTATTTTAAATCTAAATTTAGTCAACAGTGACTATGAGTGGACAACAATCACCAAGCATGGTGATGACTGTGACCACTGAGATCACTGATTGGCTGACCTGGTAATGTTGGGGAAGCGGAGGGGGGCGGCGCACATCCCACCCCAATAATTAATAACTCAGACTGGACAAAGAGTGTGACTGCTTTCGTCGCCTAGACTAACTGATTGACCAAATGAAATCCGGCGACACAAAGATTTGACTAAAAATGTTCAGACTTAGTTTTTGCATGACTACATTCAATCAATAAATAACAGAAGGAATACAAATATTGACTAAATTAATGCCAGAGAAAACAGGGTGCATATTGATTTTGTCACTTGTCATAGTTTGACTGTGCCAGACCCTGCCACGTGTGTCTAGCGACCAGAGAAGTGTGGGGCAAGACACAGAAAGGCGTTTTAGGTGATGGGAGGAATCAGGCCTTAGGGTGGTGTGATTTTACTCCTTTATTTAGCAACACAGTCATAAAGCGTATTTGAAAAGTTTGCAAGCTCCTGTACTTACCCTTACCAGCACCCGCCACCATATCCCGTTCATGCTTTACCCAGTTAACGTGGATGCATATCTATCCTCTTCTATGCATCACAGGGTGATGGAGGTGGCCCACTGAACTGCCAGCAGTCAGACAATGCCTGGGTGGTGCAGGGAATCACCAGCTACGTCTCATCTCTGGGCTGCAACACAATCCGCAAGCCCACCGTGTTCACCCGTGTGTCAGCCTACAACAGCTGGATCAGCAACGTGAGTGCCAATGCTGTCAATGTCAACGTTCTTACCATGATCTCGCTGTCAATGTCAATATTGATGCTCTTACTGTAGCAATGACATTGTCATTATCATACAAATGGTACAGTAAAAAGCATTTTCAATAACACGTCACTGTCAATGTGATTATTGTTATTGCTCTTATAAGTGGCATTATCATTGTCAATGTTGATATTGTTGTAAATATCAATGTAGGTGCCACTTTACCTTGAACATTGTAATTAATCAGGGAAACGTTTTATGGATGGGGCATATGTGGAGGATTGAAATGGACATGTTACCAAGGCAGGTGTTGAAAGTGGAATTCAGTGGTCAAAAACCAAATGTGAAAACCACAAGATGGTGATAAGACTCGTGAACCTTGGCGCTCAAGTGTTGACTGTGCACTAGTATAAGTGATGGCAAGGTGTGATGTCCTTATTCTATATCGATCACAATACAAAGGTGGGATTTGCATGAGTCATCGGTGTGGCTGGTATCGGCCAGGTATGATTGCTATCATGTTCGTTTATCTATAGGTACTGAGGTTCAAACACCACCCATTCCCCGTTTCTCCCGCAGGTCATGAGCGTGTACCGTGAAGCTCCGAAGATCGCCGAGGGAGAGCAGAGCGTCAACAGTGGAGTCAATGCCACAATTGCCGCATTCAAGAAGCCGCAGGCTTAAAGCATCATGCTCTTTACATCAATGCTACCGCTAATACTAGAATCACAGTTTCTTGTTACGGGTATTGCCTTTTTTAATGTGGGACTGGGCACGTGAGCATAGGATGGGTGGTTTGATGCAGTGAGTTTGTGTGGCCATGCCAGACATTACCAGTGTTAATAACACTATAACAATGTGCCATTTAGATTAGACGTTAAACAATGAGCTGTATAATTTGACAAGAAATACATTTTGTCATACCAACATGCATACTGATGTTCTGCATTGTGTTCACGCTCGCGACTCATGCATAATCTGGTTGCATGTGCATTAGAAAGAGGATCCAGAAACAGAGCTCAATTGTCTGGTGGAGTTAATAAAAAAAATTTAGCCTCCACGCCATATTCAAAGCATCATTTTCCTATAAAAATTGACATACAGTACACTATTAATTGTAGACTCGATTTATAATGCTTGATGTGTCCGATTTGGTTTATGAATTAACAGAACTGTACTGTAGATTGATAATGTTATTCGTGAATGTTCGGGTTGGTGTAAAATAAACATTTGAAGTACAAAATAAAGTATCTGGTTTGTTTCATTGCCTGGCACATTAAACCACACACCACTCACCTGGCAGTCATAACTTACAGGCACTCACAAATTGCTTTACGTATATGCATGTACGTATGTTGAACTTATTTCGGACACCATACATAGCGAACTGTGCTAATCATCTGACATCTGACACCACCAAACACTCCTTAGTCAGCACTCACCACTCATCTTCCAATCACCAAAAACCGACATTCACTAGACTCACCACTGACCAAAGATCGCCCATGTAGCCTTAGTCTGTTGGGGCAAGTGCTGTAAGCATGTACCTCTGAAGGCACTCGAGGGGTTGATGGGGCTCCCTAGCGACAAAGGCAGCCACACGGCACTAGGTAATCATCTATCTGGCACGTTGTTTTGCCATGAACAGGGCCGTTGTCGTGGCTTGTGTCTTTGCTCTGGAGACTGAGAGCTCGTTCAGTCACCGTGTTGATGGTATTCGTTGTTATTTCTCACTTAACACGTGAAGGCTGCTTCCTTCCACTTCCAACTTCCAGTCACCAAACACGACTGAACATGTATGACTCACCTAATTCTCGTCACTCGCCACTCATTACTGATAATTCAAACAAGATTATAACAATGCATCACGTACTCGCTGATAATTAAAAGCAGGATGGCAGCTTACAGTTTTGCGTCGACTTCCGTAAATTGAACAAAGTCTCAGTAGAAGACGCTTCCCCAGCTGACACATATGGAGGATTCCATGGACGCATTGTCGGGCGCTCAGATTTTCTCCACATTGGACCTATTGTCGGGACCTATTGTCAGGATCCCTTGGTTAAGTCATCCAGGCCCGAAAACGGAATTCTGAATGCCTCAGGGACTGTTCCAGTTTAATTGTCTCCCGATGGGATTGCAGTTGGCACCGGCGACTTTCCATAAATTCATTGAGTTGGTGCCGGCAGGACTGCAGTGGGACTCCTGCTTCATTAACTTAGATGACATAATCGCGTTTGGCTGCACATTCGAGGAGCATTTGCAGTGGTTGCGGATAGTACTCTCCAGCGTACGGTCGGCAAATCTGAAATTTAAACTCGCCAAGTGCCATTTGCTACAGACCTCGGTGTGATATTTGTGCCAGATTGTTAGTGCTAATGGAATAGCGATGGATCCGGATACAACGGCGTCCATATGCGATTGGCCAACCCCCAAGTCGGTGGGTGAAGTGCGCAGTTTTGTCGGGTTTGCGTTGTATTACCGTAGATTTGATCCACAGTTTGCGATGGTTGCGAGATCACCTTTCCAACGCGCCTCATCTTGACTACCCAGATGTTTCCTTGCCGTTCATATTGGACACTGATGCTAGTGACATGGGCATAGGGCCTGTCCTGTCCCAGGTGAAAATGGTGGTGGAAAGCGTGATCGCATACGGGAGTCACATCCTGTCAACCGGTGAGCAGCGGTACTGTGTCACCCGCAGGGAACTGTTGGCCATGGTGTACTTCGTCCAACAGTACAGGCCTTCTCTCTATGGCAGAGACGTTGTAGTCTGCATGCACCACGTGGCACTCGAGTACTCTGTGAGAGTGGACCAGCCTCCCGGACAGTTCTCACGCTGGTTTGAAATACTCCAGGAGAATTATTTTCGAGTGGTTCATCGCAGGCGTGTGGGGCACTGTAATGCCGATGCATTATTCCGCTTGCCGATGAACAAACGCTGTGCGTGCTTGTCGGGCGCGAGCCAGTGTAAACAGCCTATGGCTGGGTCACCGGGGGTCGTAGCGGCTTTGAGTGACCCACCACCAGCTGTGGCGGTTGCACATAGAGATTACACGTTGGGTCTTATGCATGCCGAATGGGGCCATCTACAGATGGAGGATCTCTCCCTGTTGAATGTGCGGTGCTGCACAGAAACTGACTACAAGAACCCCGGGCCTAAGGGAGTCTCGCAGTTTGTCCTTCGGGAAGGTCTGCTGATGAGGTGGCAGGAGGAATCGCACCGTCTGTGTATTGTGGTCCCCACCTCCCTGCGAGGTAGATTAATGTGGGCAGTGCATGAAGATAAGTTGATGTACCGAGGGCATTTGAAAACTTTTTTAACTATGCAAAAGACTTTCATTGGCCGGGAATGTCAAACGATGTCTTCCATTTGATCAAAGGTTGCACATATGCGTGCGCCACAAGCCGCCATCACAAAAATCTCAAACACCATTTATTGTCCATCACGGTGTCCCACATTAACAAATTGGTTGCGCTTGACATCCTGGGACTCTGTCCGGCTACACAAAAGGAGAATACATTTTTCCTAGTTGGGGTTCAGTATTTTTTCCAGTGTCCAATGGCTTGGCCATTGCCCAACCAAATGGCTTTATCCATAGCCGATGCATTTTTGCATGGCTATGTGATGGAAAAGGGGGCCCCCCAAGCAGATTCTCATGGATTAAAGCGAAATTTCTCGTCCAAGGTGCTGCGAAAAGCGTGCGACGTGCCGGGCACAAAAAAGATGAGAACGTCGCTATACCATCCCCAAACGGATGGTGTGGTGGAAAGCTTGCACAGAACCCTAACATCGATGCTCTGTCAGGCAGTTAATGACGCACAGACAGATTGGGATTTGGACGTTCCGGGAGTCTTGGCAGCATACAGGATGGCCCCACATCAGTGGCGGCTCGTCAATAGAGGGCGCAGGGGCGCCGCCCCCATCAATATTCAAGAAATATACATATACAAAATTTATATAAAAATACATAAATAAAATATTTTTTTCATACGATGTGCCGGCTGGTAGTAAGAAAAGCATCAGCATTTAATAAAAACTGGCTTTAATCGGTCAACTATTTTCTATGTTTTTCAATGTGTTTCATGCGGGGCGCCGGACAAATGGATGTCTATGTGAGACTTTAAATTTTCGGACAGCATGTGACCTGAAGCTGGTCTCTAATTGGTTTCTTAAAGATTCTCCTCGGGGCGCAAGTCGTTGCGTCCCTGGCCAATCAGAATTGGATACATGTTATTTTATCCAATCTGATTGGTTCTCGTCACCTGTCATTCAAATTTACGCTCTGGGCAACTACTGCGAGTGCGCAGGCGACACCACTTTGACACTTGCCAGGCTGATCAAATTTTTTGTGTAAACAATGGCAGCAGTTCATCCAAATTTTGTAATTTATTTACAAAAAAACCCTTTCACAAGGCTTTCGCTGGAAGAAATAAAAAAGATAAAGGATCTCGGCCCGGACCAACCCGATTTACAAATCCAGCAGCAGGCCAGTGACAGAGGACGAAGCTACACACGAAGCTTCACCCGCGCTTGTTATGAGAAACGGAGGTGGCTGGCTGGATGTGATGTTAGCAATTCTCTTTTTTGTTTTCCCTGTCTTTTATTTCAAAGTGTCAGCACTGAAGTTTTGTGGACAACGACGGGGGTAAGAGACCTCAAACATCTCTCTGACAAATGCAAACGTCATGAAAGTAGCCGCAGCCATATTGATAATAGCATGAAACTAACGTTTTTATGTTCAAGTAGGAAACATGCTTTTTGGTACTTTGGTCTGAAATGTATATAAAAGAGAAACATTTATGTTCAAGTAGGAAACATGCTTTTTGGTACTTTGGTCTGAAATGTATATAAAAGAGAAACATTTATGTTCAAGTAGGAAACATGCTTTTTGGTACTTCTTTTGGTCTGAAATGTAAATAAAGATCATCAAAATTTATATTCAAGTAGTCAAAATGGTTTTTGGTACTGCTTTATATTTATTTGCCCCCCTCAATAAAATAAAAAAAATGCGCCCCCCCAAAAATAAATATCACCAGCCGCCACTGCCCCACATGCTTCTACGGGATTCTCCCCGTTTTTTCTCATGTACGGGTGGGAAAAGGAACCCCCCATTGAATCACAATTGGGTATCAGGCTCGGTTAGGAAGAAAGCAGTGATGTCCATTCCCCTACAGGTCATTCTGCGTCGTGTCTCTGTTCAACGAGCCGGGGAAATCGGCCAAGGAAATTGTGCCTCAGGAAAATGCGTTGTTCCAACCACAGTTTCCAATTCCCTGAAGCCTGGGGAACCTTAAGAAGCTGCCACATGTGATGGACCACTAGCTGGAGCCCATTCAAATTCCTCAGAAGAGTCCAGGGATGAGCCTACCCGTTCAAGGCTTTTGTGCAAGCCCCCATTGCCTGGAGAGGCACAGAAATCCACCCAGAGCGATGGACTGGCATCAAGGACCCAGTCAAAGTGTTTAGGATTCCGCTAAGCGGATCTCCCATGGTCATGGCGGGTTTTTTCTTTTTTAACATGCGGGGTTTTTCTATCCTAAAAAGCGTCGGGCGTCATGTTATTTTATGCACTTCGGCTGCCCTAAAGTTCGTCGGTTGTCGGGTTGTTAATTTATGCAGTTCGTCTACCCTAACATTCGGCAGAGGTCGGGTAAAAGTTTTTATTACCGATGCGGTTCTTTGGCCCTCACGTGGTACACAGTTATTTTGAGCCGAGACGGCTGATGTGTTTCAAAAAGAGGGGGGGTGAGGCAGAGACAGTGTAGGGGTAGAGACAATACGTGGCCCAGTGGTCACGAAAACCATCCAGGAAGCTTGGGAATGGGCTAGAGGGTTCGAGAAAGGGGACATGGCCGGGGCAGAGTGAGGGTCACGACGGGAATAAAAGGATGCGAGACGCAAGGTTTGGGGCTGCAGTGGGATCAGGTCGACTGTCTTCATGCCATTGCTGTCTTCACGCTGTTGTTGTCTACGGGCCATCGCTGTCTTCATGTCATCGCTACTTGCGTGCCATCCCTGGTCCAAGTTATCTGTGCTTTCCCTGTCCAAGTTCAAGTTACCTGCATGAAGCACCCTCAATAATAAATAAATAAAACTCTACAGTTCAAGTTGTCTGAGTCATTACACTTATCCTAAAATTCACTAGTAGCACATGACGTTATGATCCCTCTACAAAATCCAACCAACCTAAGGTCTCGTGATGTCATGATCTCCATTCGGTCCCTCGGCATCTCGTGACATCATCAC